ATCATAATCTTGGACACAAGTTTGGATCATTTGTAATTTAGTCCTCGAACTTTCGTTCTCTTCTACTTTGGTCATTTTTCACTTGTTTCTTCCGAATTTCATCTTTTTCACCAAAATGCAACCTAAACCAAAATATAAGAGTAATGAGTGCATTTTGGCATAATATAATCACATGAATGCAATGGTTAAGAGGGAAAAATATGATATTTTACACTCTTATCACACCCCCCAACTTGCTTATTGCTAGTCCCTAGCAATTTAATGCAAAGTAAAGCAAATGAGTGATTGGTCCATGTTACAAGTGAAATTGTTAAGTTCTAATTCAATAATAGTTCATTCTCTTTTCAAACTCAACACCACCAGAAATTAACAATGTTATGATCATCAAGATATCATAAACACTTGCTAAATGTGTAAGTGTATGTCAAGCCATAGCCATCTTACCGCCAACCCTAACACATGCAACATCGAGTGTATCTCTAGCTAAAGGTCTAGCCCCATAACTCACGGATATTAAAGTGTTTAGTGCGGGATTTCTCTCTATGGAGCTGGGAAAGATGCACACTCAGAACATGGAGGCTTTAATAATTAGCAACAAGCAGACATTGATCACATGATAGGCATACTTTCAAATGAGAATTCATCAACTTCTTACCACAAACCGACTTGAGATCAAAACCGTCAATGCAAAGGGTGTGAAAGGGGTTAAGTTGGGTTATATGAAAAGTAGGGTGAAAAGAATTTAGGGACTTCCAAGTATCTAGTTAGGCATCTCAACAAGTAATTCAACATAGCAATCCTTTACATCTACGCATTCCTTAACCTTTCAATTCCCAACAACAATCCACTCTCTTTTTTTTTTTTTTCAAATTTTTTTTTTCTTTTCTCGCTTTTTTTTTTCTTTTTTTTTTTTACTCCCCCCCCCCCCCTCCCAAATGAAATCTTCTTGTAATTTGTTGTATCCAAAATCCAAATCCATTTTATTTTTCTATATTTGCAGGAAGTGGGAGTAAATCTTGTTATTACGGACTATTGTATGCCTGGGATGACTGGCTATGATTTGCTCAAGAAAATTAAGGTATATTTTCTTGGACAGATGAATTTCCTTTCATGGAAATTATGCCTTTGACCAAATTTTCTTCAATTCTATCTGTGCTATTTTCAGATTGATGTAATTTTGAAAAACAACACGGCTCATTTTCTTGCATTCTTTTGAGATCAATAAGAACCTTTGGTCCTTTACCATTTTTTTTTTTCAAAAGAAATCCTCATCTAATTTGAGTCATAAATCGGATAACTGAAAAGCATGTAATTACACATGCTTAGCTTACCCTAATGGTAGTTTGGTAAGATGGATCAGATAATACTAAAGAAAAGATGACCCCAAGACATCATCAATTCTACTGTGGTTCCTTGTTGAAGGAAAGATTTAAAAGAAAAGGCGTTACCATTTCTAATAATTTAAGCTTTCACATGTCAATTAGTTTTCTAAAGTGAGAGAAAATAATCTCGACAGTAAAAACAGGTTCAGTGAATTTATGGGCTTCCTTTTCTTGATAGGAATCGTCATCTCTGAAGAACATACCAGTAATCATTATGTCATCTGAGAATGTTCCTTCAAGAATCAGCAGGTAAGGATTCCTGAATAAATGCTGTTCTTCCTGGTTAATCTGCCGTTACCAAAATATGGAGAAATTTGTTTATATCTCATTTACAGGTGCTTGGAAGGAGGAGCAGAAGAATTTTTCCTGAAACCTGTGAGATTATCAGATGTAAGTAAGCTTAGGCCTCATTTGATGAGAACCAAATGCTGCAATCAAGAAAATGAAGAGAATAAATGCTGGAATCAAGAAAAACAAGTAAATATAGAATCTTCAGAAATTGAATCACAAACAGCAGCACAATCCAATAATAAGAACAAGAGGAAGGCCATAGATGAAGGGATTTCTCCAGACATTACAAGGCCTAGATACAATGGCCATAGTTTGGTTTCCAATCACTTGTGAGACCTGACTCAACCCGACCTGACTAGAGGGCATTAGTTAAATCAGTCATTGGACACAGTTACAGTTCAAAGAAACCGCTGTACGCCCGACACACTGGATTATATTAGCTCATACCCTGTTGGGACGAGCATCTTCGCCTAATGAACAGAGACAATACTAAGAAAGAGGCGTCAGAGTCAGAACCAGCTGAGGTTCCTACATTGATCTGAGCCAATTAATTGTAATTTTTTTCTTTTGTTTTTTATGATTTCTTTCTTTCTTTCTTTCTTTCTTTTCAGTTGACGTTAATACGAGATGTATAGAGAGTAAAGATGGAGGGGCGAAAATTATAGATTCTTACTGTAATGTCATGAAAAAATGATTTATTATTTATCTTGACTTTCTCATTTTATGTTTAAAAATAATTTATTTATTTTGTATTCTATTGCTTCCAATACATTATTCATGTTTTAATCTATTTTTAAGTTTTTTCTTTTTCTATTATATTAGCATGAGAAAAAGCAAGCTGCCCGTCACTGTCTTTCCCATCGGCCATCTCTGCTTACACATTCCTGAGTTTTCCCTCGTTGTATGTTGTAAAAAGTCGTTTTCCACGTTTGGTTCGAAGGCCGAGCTCACCCCAAGTATCAGGGACTCGGTGTGTAGTTTTAGTTTGCCGATAATGTCATATATATAAAAGATATAGATTTGACAAGTTCGAAATGCTTTAAAAGTAGTTTTTTAATAAATTCTCAATATTATATTATGCTTTGTCTTCATTTTCTAAAATTTATTTTTAAACGCACAATTTATATAATTTATTTTAAGTTTAACCACAATTAAAAAGACGTGCTGTCTAGAAAAATAATTAAAATGCGGCTTTTAGAAGCATTAATCCATTGACCAGACTTGGCAAATGATAGAGCCTATTTGGAGTGATTTTTTCCCTTAAAAAATTGATTTTTTGACCGTTATTTCATTTTCGAACGTTATATTTGACTTTTTTCTCACAAGTGGACCCATTTTTCTCTAAACGGTCAAAAAATCAATTCTCAAAAAAATAATGCTATTTACAGTTGCTCACTGCAGTAGTCGCCTTACGTGACATACACATGGCAGGTGGTTATTTGATGTATTAATGAATAAAAAAATTATTACATTAATTTATCAAATAATCACCTGTATGTCACGTAAAACGACTATCGCAATGAGCGATTGCGAATAACATTGCTCTTCTCAAAATCACTATCAAACACGCCCATAGTCTACTGCACTAGAAGCTGATAACAGGGTCAGGTCGAGTTTCAGCAGAAAACTGAAATGTCAGCATTTTGTAACTGAAATGTCAGTATTTTGTAGAGCATCAAGTCCTCTTAGAAAATGTATTAATTTCACCAAACCAACACTTTTCAGCCGTGTTTACACTTTCATTTCTCGACTACACTATATCAAGGTCCGACATGATCATCGTCTATTCAGTTTGTACCACTCGGTGACTCAAATTCAAAGAACTCCGGGGTTCTCGCTGCCCAGATTGGATTATACAATCAAACAAGATGTAGCCAAGACAAATTGGATGATCACTAAGTTATGTAAGGAGGGTCGAATTTCTGAAGCACGTAAGTTATTTGATGAAATGCCTGACCCAGATGTGATTTCATGGACCGCTTTAATTTCGGGTTACATAAAGTGTGGGGCGTTGAAAGAGGCCAGAGAACTGTTTGATAGAGTTGACGCCAAGAAAAATGTGGTCACGTGGACAGCTATGATTTCGGGGTATGTTAAAATGAAGAGAATTTTTGAGGCTGAGAGGCTTTTTGAAGAAATGCCAGAGAAGAATGTGGTTTCTTGGAACACCATGATTGATGGGTATGTGCAAAGTGATAGAATAGAAAAGGCCTTGGGGTTGTTCGAAAGGATGGACGAGAGGAATGTGGTCTCTTGGAACACACTGATTGCAGGGTTGGTAAATTATGGGAGGATGAAGGATGCAAAGGACCTTTTTGATCGAATGCCTCAAAGGGACGTAATTTCTTGGACTATTATGATTTCAGGATTGGCTAGGGAAGGTAGAGTTGAAGAGGCTAGAATGCTTTTTGATACCATGCTAGAGAGGAATGTGGTTTCTTGGAACGCAATGATTACTGGGTACACCCAAAATATGAGGTTAGATGAAGCATTCGATTTGTTTAAGAGAATGCCAGAGAAGGATGTGCCATCTTGGAATACAATGATTGCGGGATTTATTCAAAACAAGGATTTAGAGAGGGCGAGGAAGTTATTTAATGAGATGCCAAGGAAGAATGTTGTTTCTTGGACTGCAATGATAAATGGATACGTGCAAGACGGACAAAGCGAAGAGGCATTGAGAACATTCTTTCATATGAAGAAGGATAGCAGAGTGAATCCTAATGAAGCCACTTTTGTGAGCGTTTTGGGTGCTTGTAGTGACTTAGCAGGTCTTGGCGAGGGAAAGCAAGTCCACCAAGTAATTAGCAAGGCAGTCTATCAGGAGAGCGAATTTGTGATATCTGCATTGATAAATATGTATTCGAAATGTGGAGAGCTGATGATGGCTAGAAATATGTTTGAGGATGGGTTGAAAGGGAAGAGGGATTTGGTCTCTTGGAATACTATGATTGCAGCATACTCTCACCACGGATGTGGAAGAGAGGCAATCACGGTGTTCAAAGAAATGCATAATATTGGGATCAAACCAAATGATGCTACCTATGTTGGATTGCTTTCTGCTTGCAGCCATGCTGGTCTGGTGGAGCAAGGGTTGGAGTACTTCGATACGCTTTTGAGAGACGAGTGCATAGAAGTGAGAGACGATCATTATACATGCCTTGTTGATCTCTGTGGTAGAGCAGGAAGGCTCAAAGAGGCATATGATCTTGTAGAACAGCTCCCAAACAAAGTATCAGCAGGTGTTTGGGGGGCTCTTCTTGCGGGATGCAACATTCATGGGGATGAGGATGTAGGAAAACTTGCAGCAATCAAACTTTTGGATATGGAGCCAGAAAATGCAGGCACTTATATGCTTTTGTCTAATATATATGCTTCCAGCGGGAAATGGCAAGAGGCAGCATTCCAGAGATTGAAGATGAAGGAGAAAAGGTTGAAAAAACAGCCAGGTTGCAGTTGGATTGAAGTTGGGAACAGATTTCATGTTTTTCTTGTTGGTGATAAATCTCATACAGAGAGCAAGATCATGCGTCTCTTACTTTTAAATCTTCATAAGAAAATGAAGAAGATGGGTTCTATACCATTGCACGATCTGACAATGGAAGATGGTTATTTAGCACTTTAAGTATATTTTTGATGCCTCCCGCCAGTGTGATGATGGTGTTTATGCCAAAAAAGATTCTGGTGCTCAGAAAAGATGAATTGAGTTGCAGTGATGATTAATCCTGAGTGTTTTGAGTATGGAGATTGAGGCTTCATGTATGTGTGCTGAAGACACTGGGCTCAGATAATCATTTCCCTTCTCTGATCATGTAAGTTTTCTGCTTCTATTGATAATGTGCAACTGGTATGAGAGCAGACTGATTACAATGGGTTTTTACAAAACAGAAAGAGACGATGATTTATTGCCATTGGTGATGGATTGCCGGAAGTTTACCACTGATGAGACCAAACTACTCAAAATTGGAGGCGAAGATGCAGGGTATTATAGCTTTTTTCTCTGTGAATTATGCTATTTGTATACCGGCCCTCACCACCGGGGGAGGGGGCAATAATTAAAAAAAAAAAATGAAGAAGAAAAAAAACATGGACCCAGATCCTGTGGTAGGCCTTGTTGAACGGATCTGAGTTGGGTTCAGGTCAAGACGACGCGGCTAGGGGTTGATATGACCTCGAAGCTGATTTGGGTAAGGATTCTAGCCTAATTATCAAAGGGTAAATTATAACATACAAATTTTATAGCTTGATGCTAGCATGCCTAGTGGCATGAATGATTATATTGATGATTATTTATTTTTTTAATATAAAGTGGATTTTTCAAAACCAAAATAAAAAAATAATATCACATGCTATGAGACAAGAATCATTATGGTCCACCCCAAAAATGTGGTAAGAGGATTTTTTTTAAATGAATGATCATAATCTTATTTTAAATTGAGATCTTATTTCGATTAGTTTTTCATGATTCAAATATTGTCACTTTCTTCAAAAGTTTCCTACTTTGTTTTTTATTTTTATACAAAACATGCGATTATGTATAATTAAGCCCTGTTTGACCATCATTTTTTTTTTAGAAAATGTTTTTTTAGAGTAATTATTATTTGGAGGATGTATTATTAAAAAATAAGAAAATAATTTGGTTTTACATGTAAAATTATTTTATAAGAAAATGTATGGTTGAAAGTAATTTTTTAAAAAAATGAAACCTTAGTAGGTGCTAAGACGACTTTTAAAGGAAGTGAATATCTGAAATTAAATTTTGGAGAGGATTTTGGGGGGCGAAATAATAAATCTCAACTCTAAAATGATCAAAAATGTTTGGACAAGTTAATTTTATTAAGAGTTATATTGTGATAA